TCACAGCGCCAATACAGCGCTGAGCGATCTAATTGTTGCAGCTGCTGTTCGAGTCTGAACGTCATCACCCTATATGTGCCCTCTGATCCTCGCCGCCGCAGCCCCCAACCTCCGCCCCACCCCGACCTGACATCATCCTCCTCCTCTCAGCCCCCTCCCACTCTTCATCGTCGGCTGTGTCGCCCCTCTCAGGGCGCGGGTAGCCTCACGCGGGCTGCGGGCCTATGAGGCGAACGTCATCTCCATTGCCTGGTCGTAGGCCTTCTTGATGCCCGTCGGCAAGTGCTTAGGGAGCACCTTGTGATCCCGCATCACGTTCTTGGCAGGCGTCATCCTCTGCCGCAGCCTCACGCCATCCTTTGCATCCGAGCTGACACACGCCTCAATTACCATCGCTGCAGCCACGGCCGAAGCGATTGTAGTCGTCAACGTGCTGAACTCCTGTGTGATGTCCTGCTGCGGCGCAATCTTGAACACATCGCAGAGGTCCGTGTACGTGGTCAGGTCCTGTCGAACATCAACCACACCCCCGCGTCAGATGGGAAGGGTGACATGTGGCCTCACTGGGCCATCGTGGGGGGACGGGGCTGTGGTGCGGGGCAATTGCGTAGCTGTTTGCAACGGTTGTGGTCAGGAGGCCTGGCCACAACCGTTGCAAACAGCTGCGTTGGCTCCCCTTGACGTCTAGCGCCCATGTCATGCTCGTCGTGGAGCGTGCAACTTCTGATTTGCATATGCGACCGTTCAATCGCTGGTAGTTGTTCCTAGCGGCCGTTATCGTGTGCGTTGCTCGCAGCTGGTGCACGCGATGAAATGGTAATGATTGCGGTTGTCACGACAGGATGGGTATAGTATGCACGTGATAGGGGGGTGCTGTCGTGCGGGAGAAGGGCCCGTTAACGATGATAGGGGGGAGTGAGGTGCGGGGAGTGGGGGGGTACGTCGAGGGGGATGCGATTGGACAAATGATGTGACTGGCTTAGGCGATGGCAGAGAGAACGAGGGGGTGGACGGGCGAGGGGGGAGATTGCCAGCGGGGCGAATGCGGTTCCGATAGTTCTGGTCGGCCCAGGAGTGTCCGAACACGGCCCCAGCGCCCTTGTCATCGACCTAGTCCCCACCACCGTTCCACATCCCCCTGATCCCCCCCATTCCTCGCACAACCCCTCCCCGCAGCGAACGTTGCGGAGGGGGGAGGGTGCGCGGAGTACATCTCACCCGCCTTCTGGGCGTAGGTGGTCTAGGGAGTTAGGTCGCACCCCGTCCTAGAAGAGCCAGTCTCCCTTCCCTCTCCCCTGGGCGTCTTTCGACGACCCTGCTATACTCTGTCTAAGCCTCCCCGCAAAGGCACTGCAAAAGACCCTGCAAGATCCTGCAATGCCCTGCAACACGACACTGCAACACCCTGCAATACCCTTGCAGCGCCCGCCCTGCAACGACCCTGTACGCGCCCTGCAACGACCCTGCAACGATCTTGCAACAACCCTGCAAACACCATACAAAGTCTTGCAAGACGATGCAGATCCTTGGCACACCTTGCACAATAATACGCTGTCCGCCCTCCGCCTCGCGGTGCTTTCGTGGAGCCTTCTGGTGGCATCTTGGGGCCCGTTGGAGCCCCTCTTGGAGCCATATTGGGCGATAGTTCTCGTGGGGCCCTCCTGGGGGTGGGGAGAGGGCCTCCCCAGAAGCCCACAATGGAACCTACGAGCGGTACAACCAATCAATATTGTATTGGTTGGTATTCTGTCTGTGGTGCCCCCTCTGTGATCCTTTCTGGGCCCCTCTTGGAGCTCTCTTGGGCTCCTGATGGGGCCCCCTGGGTACATATTGAACCCCTCTCGGGGTCTTCGCGTGGCCATCCTGGGTCAGCCCCGATGTCTCCGCAGAAGCCCCTAATGTAACCCACGAACGACACAGCCACAACAATGTGTTGTGTTTAGCCCTCCGCCTCTTGGGCCAACTCTGGGACCCCTGGCGTACCCCTCTTGGGGCCCTCTAGGGCCCCTGTTGGAGCCCACATGGGGCCATCTTGAGCCCCTCTCGGGGCCCTCTTGGGTCCTCCTTGTTGCGCTGCATGCTGCTACACTGCATGCTGCTACACTTCCCTGGCCAAGACATCTCGCCCAAGCATCGTATCTGGATGGACTAGTGGGGGTACGCGAAGCGTCCAGAATAAGCGATGTATGCGGGCGGTGGTGAGGGAAGTGGGCAGGTTAACGGATTCCATCCTGCGAGAGCTGGTCCAACCAGCCCAGCGCCTCGTCGTGGTCCCAGTCCTTGAAGCCCGTCTCCCAGACCTTGCAGATCTCCTTCCAGTTGGCCTTGGCCACGTCCTGCTCGAAGCTGCCGTAGCCGTTGCTCTCCTTGAGCTTCTTCCAGGCGCCCTCCGTACTCGCCTTCGCGGCGGTGGCCCCCCTCGTCACCAACGCGGCCGCAACCTCCTTGAGGTAGCCCGTCGCCTCCTCCATCCGCTCCTTGCCCCGCTTGAAGGTCGCGT